ATTTAACACAGGGGGAACACGCACAAGGGGACACAGGTGGAAACTGAGTGCCCAAATGAGCCACAGAGATATTAGAATGAACTTTTTTAGTGTCAGAGTGGTTGACAAATGGAATGCATTAGGAAGTGATGTGGTGGAGGCTGACTCCATACACAGTTTCAAGTGTAGATATGATAGAGCCTGATAGGCTCAGGAATCTGTACACCTGTTGATTGACGGTTGAGAGGCGGGACCAAAGAGCCAGAGCTCAACCCCCGCAAACACAACTAGGTCAGTACAACTAGGTGAGTACACACACACACACACGCACGCACGCACGCACGCACGCACGCACGCACGCACGCACGCACGCACGCACGCACGCACACACACACACACACACACACACACACACACACACACACACACACACACACACACACACACACACACACACACACACACACAAAGGCTAGTGAAAAAACTGGAGATGCAGGCTGGAGTGAAAGGGAAGGTACTCCGTTGGATACAGGAGTACCTACGTAACAGGAGACAACGAGTCAGTGTGAGGGGTGAGGTCTCAGATTGGCGAGACGTTACGAGTGGAGTACCGCAGGGGTCAGTCCTTGGACCTATACTGTTTCTGATATATGTAAATGATCTTCCAGAGGGTATAGAATCGTTTCTCTCAATGTTTGCTGATGATGCAAAAATTATGAGGAGGATTGAAACTGAGGACGATAGTAGGAGGCTACAAGATGACCTAGACAGACTGAGTGAATGGTCCAACAAATGGCTGTTGAAGTTCAACCCGAGTAAATGCAAAGTAATGAAACTAGGTGGTGGAAATAGGAGGCCAAACACAGGATACAGAATAGGAGATGAAGTACTTAATGAAACGAACAGAGAGAAAGATCTAGGAGTTGATATCACACCAAACCTGTCTCCTGAAGCCCACATAAAAAGAATAACGTCTGCGGCATATGCGAGGCTGGCTAACATCAGAACAGCGTTCAGGAACCTGTGTAAGGAATCATTCAGAATCTTGTACACCACATATGTAAGACCAATCCTGGAGTATGCGGCCCCAGCATGGAGCCCGTACCTTGTCAAGCACAAGACGAAGCTGGAAAAAGTCCAAAGGTATGCCACTAGACTAGTCCCAGAACTAAGAGGCATGAGTTACGAGGAAAGGCTGCGGGAAATGCACCTTACGACACTGGAAGACAGAAGAGTAAGGGGAGACATGATCACAACCTACAAAATCCTCAGAGGAATCGACCGGGTAAACAAGGATAAACTATTCAACACTGGTGGGACGCGAACAAGGGGACACAGGTGGAAACTGAGTACTCACATGAGCCACAGAGACGTTAGAAGGAACTTTTTTAGTGTCAGAGTAGTTAACGGATGGAATGCATTAGGCAGTGATGTGGTGGAGGCTGACTCCATACACAGTTTTAAATGTAGATATGATAGAGCCCAGTAGGCTCAGGAATCTGTACACCAGTTGATTGACAGTTGAGAGGCGGGACCAAAGAGCCAAAGCTCAACCCCCGCAAGCACAAATAGGTGAGTACAAATAGGTGAGTACACACACACACACACACACACACAGCTCAGAAAGAGCAGCTTCTGTTGCTAGCAGGAATGGATCTGGACTACTAATTATGGGAGACTTCAACCATGGAAAGATAGATTGGGGGAACAGAGACCCGCATGGAGACCCAGACACATGGAGAGCTAAGTTGCTGGATGTGGCAACAAGAAACTTTCTAAGCCAGCACATAAAGGAACCAACAAGAATGAGAGGAGAAGATGAACCAGCAATGCTAGATTTGATATTTACCCTAAATGAGTGGGATATAAGGGAAGTTAAGATGGAAGCGCCCTTGGGAATGAGTGATCACAGTGTATTGAACTTTGAGTACCTGGTAGAGCTAGGAATTATCTCCCCCCAAAAAGAACTAGGAATCAAAAGGCTGGCAAACCGAAGGGGGAATTATGAACAGATGAGAAGTTTCCTAAGGGAAATACCTTAGGACACAGACCTCAGAGATAAGTCTTTACAAGGTATGATGGACTATGTTACCCAAAAGTGTCAGGAGGCAATAAACAGGTTCATCCCGGTTCAAAGGGAAAAATCCGAAAACCAACAGAAGAATCCATGGTATAATAGGGCATGTATGGAAGCGAAGAAACTGAACAAAAGGCCGTGGAGGAACTTTCGGAATAACAGAACACCAGAAAGCAGAGAGAGATACCAGAGAACCAAGAAAGAGTACGTCAGGGTGAGAAGAGAAGCAGAGAAAAGTTTTGAAAATGATATAGCAAACAAAGCCAAGACCGAATCAAAGCTACTCCACAGTCACATCAGAAGGAAAACAACAGTGAAAGAACAGGTATTGAAACTTAGAACAGGCGAGGACAGGTATACAGAGAATGACAAAGAGGTGTGTGAAGAACTCCACAAGAGGTTCCAAGGAGGTCTTCACAATAGAACAAGGTGAGGTCACTGTGCTAGGAGAAAGGGAGGTAAACCAGGCGGCCTTGGAAGAGTTCGAAATTACGAGAGAGGAGGTTAAGAGACACCTGCTGGATCTGAATGTTAGAAAGCCTGTTGGTCCAGACGGGATCTCCCCATGGGTACTGAAAGAGTGTGCAGAGGCACTTTGCTTGCCACTCTCCATAGTGTATAGTAAGTCACTGGAGGCAGGAGACCTACCAGAAATATGAAAGTCGGTGAATGTGGTCCCAATATACAAAAAGGTCGACAGACAAGAGGTAATGAACTACAGGCCAGTGTCCTTGACTTGTATACCATGCAAGGTGATGGAGAAGATCGTGAGAAAAAACCTGGTAACACATCTGGAGAGAAGGGACTTCGTAACAAATCGCCAACATGGGTTCAGGGAGGTTAAATCTTGCCTGACTGGCTTAATATAAGTCTACGACCAGCTGACAAAGATTTAGCAAGAAAGAGAGGGCTGGACGGACTGCATTTTCTTGGAGTGTCGGAAAGCCTTTGACACAGTACCGCATAAGAGGCTGGTACATAAGCTGGAGAGACAGGCAGGTGTAGCTGGTAAGGTGCTCCAGTGGATAAGGGTATTGCTTCCTAAGCAATAGGAAGCAGGGAGTTACGGTGAGGGGTGAGACCTCTGATTGGCGTGAAGTCACCAGTGGAGTCCTACAGGGCTCTGTACTCGGTCCTATCTTGTTTCTGATATATGTAAATGATCTCCCGGAGGTTATTGATTCATTTCTCTCAATGTTTGCGGACGACGCCAAAATTATGAGAAGGATTAAGACAGAAGAGGACAGTTTGAGGCTTCAAGAAGACCTAGACAAGCTGAAGGAATGGTCGAACAAATGGGTGTTAGAGTTTAACCCTACCAAATGTAATGTAATGAAGATAGGTGTAGGGAGCAAGAGGCCAGATACAAGGTATCATCTGGGAGAGGAAATTCTTCAGGAGTCAGAGAAAGAAAAAGACTTGGGGGTTGATTTCTCGCCAGACCTGTCTCCTGCAGCACATATCAAGCGGATAACATCAGCGGCATATGCCAGGCTGGCCAACATACGAACGGCATTCAGAAACTTGTGTAAAGAATCATTCAGAACTTTGTATACCACCTATGTCAGGCCAATCCTGGAGTATGCAGCCCCAGCATGGAGTCCATATCTAGTCAAGGATAAGACTAAACTGGAAAAAGTTCAAAGGTTTGCCACCAGACTAGTACTCGAGCTGAGAGGTATGAGCTACGAGGAGAGGCTACGGGAATTAAACCTCACTTCGCTGGAAGACAGAAGAGTTAGGGGGGGACATGATCACCACATTCAAGATTCTGAAGGGAATTGATAGGGTAGATAAAGACAGTCTATTTAACACAAGGAGCACACGCACAAGGGGACACAGGTGGAAACTGAGTGCCCAAATGAGGCACAGAGATATTAGAAAGAACTTTTTTAGTGTCAGAGTGGTTGACAAATGGAATGCATTAGGAAGTGATGTGGTGGAGGCTGACTCCATACACAGTTTCAAGTGTAGATATGATAGAGCCCGATAGGCTCAGGAATCTGTACACCTGTTGATTGACGGTTGAGAGGCGGGACCAAAGAGCCAGAGCTCAACCCCCGCAAACACAACTAGGTGAGTACACACACACACACACACACACACACACACACACCGTTGCCGTATATATATTGCTTGGCCCTCAACCACACAATCTCCCCTCCTGCACAATGAGACCTCGTGCCATTCACCACCAACACCCTGGAACCCCGTATAAAGGAACGAACACGTTCCTATTCCAGAGCAGGACATTCACACATTCCAGTCCTTTATATATACACACACACACACTACACCTCGCCCACACTACACCAGCCAGCCATTCACAGCTCACTGATCTTGTACACTCTCGTTGCTTCCATGCAATGGCATTTACCCTACCTTACTGGGATTTACCAATCTTTAACTCTCAGAAAATCCATGAGTGCTATAGTTATGAGGCTGTAGGGGATGTTATGGCGTGTGCTTCTTGAGTTGACGTACTCTCTCTGATGGCATTCGTTTGGGATGCGTGATCCTTCAGCCTCTTGATGTTGGCACTATTAATACTCTCATTAACCAAGGGGAGTGATGATATACATGGTCTATTTCTTATGGTAATACAGACTTATAGTTTGAGTCTATTATGGTATTACATACATGGCATAAATCTATCGCCTATGGTTAAATATACGCGGTTTATAACTATCGCTATCGTTAATTAACACGTTCTTTGAGTCAACCGCTTATGTTAAATCACGGTGGAACCTATCGGACGTTTCCAGCAGTCATTGTGTCTGTATAGGTTCCTTTTTGTCCTGGACAACGGACAGAAGTCTGGCATTCGCTGATGATATCGTAACTTTCTTATTGCTTGCTATATTTTCCACCTATTTGCAACGAGAGTAATCATGAAGGGTTTATATTGGACTGCCCATGCCGGACTGCCCAAGCCGGACTGCCCATGCCGGACTGCCCAAGCCGGACTGCCCATGCCGGACTGCCCAAGCCGGACTGCCCATGCCGGACTGCCCAAGCCGGACTGCCCATGCCGGACTGCCCAAGCCGGACTGCCCATGCCGGATTGCCCATGCCGGACTGCCCAAGCCGGACTGCCCATGCCGGACTGCCCAAGCCGGACTGCCCATGCCGGACTGCCCAAGCCGGACTGCCCATGCCGGACTGCCCAAGCCGGACTGCCCATGCCGGACTGCCCAAGCCGGACTGCCCATGCCGGACTCCCCATGCCGGACTGCCCATGCCGGACTGCCCAAGCCGGACTGCCCAAGCCGGACTGCCCAAGCCGGACTGCCCAAGCCGGACTGCCCATGCCGGACTGCCCAAGCCGGACTGCCCATGCCGGACTGCCCAAGCCGGACTGCCCATGCCGGACTGCCCAAGCCGGACTGCCCATGCCGGACTGCCCATGCCGGACTGCCCATGCCGGACTGCCCAAGCCGGACTGCCCAAGCCGGACTGCCCATGCCGGACTGCCCAAGCCGGACTGCCCAAGCCGGACTGCCCAAGCCGGACTGCCCAAGCCGGACTGCCCAAGCCGGACTGCCCAAGCCGGACTGCCCATGCCGGACTGCCCAAGCCGGACTGCCCAAGCCGTGACCCAGAGGTTCCCGTGGTCGGGACAACTCCAGTGACAACAGCCAGAGAACAAGCACGGTGGCTCAGGAAGAGTCAAAAGGAAATTCTTTAAAATGAGAAGCTCTCCTAGTTACAAGTTGAACCTCCAGTGGTGGAAAATTTACGAAAGCTAATAGAGAATCTCCAAAATGAGACGCTACAGGCCGTCCTTTGACCGCCCAGGTGGTGGAATTTAGAGAAAGCCAATAGAGACTCTCCAAAATGTGACGCGATTGCAACACAGAGCTGACCTCTGACCTTCTGAGGGAAGGAATCTAAGACAGCCAATAGAAAATCCCCCAAAATGAGCAGCTCTCACACCTAGGAATTAACTTGTGAGCCTCCGGAGACAACTTAAAGCAATGCCAAAACTACATTCTCTAATACTGAACTATCCAAATCTTAAAATTATCTGTATTTTCAAACTTATGAACTAGAAAACAAAATTAATTAAAAATTCCTTTCAAATTAAACACGACAAAATATAGGAGTAGAACTGGTGTACTGATAACAGTGGCTATCTGTTTCCTCCCTGGATGGTAGCCATAATACGGAAATGATTGAGAAAATCAGTAGGAGCCACGAGGAGGATTCGAATCTGTGCACTCGGTACTCCCAAGCACATGCCCAACACCACTTAACCACGACATGCTCAAAATCCATGCAACCCGGGCTTTTATCTTTGATATTTAACGTTAATGTAATTTTTTTTTAGCAATAAAATGATTATTATTTACTCGTATATGTGGCTGAATCATGCCTGCATACTCACACATGAAACTAGTCATGAGGCACATGTATTCACCCAGTTCCCTGGAAACACAAACCGTAACTGTCTCTATTTTCCGTTTGTTACAACTTGTAATAATGTTGTTACATCTTGGCTTAACGTGTTTATGACGTATTAGAACGTTGTTACAACTTGCTATATTGATTGTTATAACTGGTTAGGAGGTGTTCAAACTTGTTCGAACGTTGTACCAACGTCGTAGTTTCGGTGTGTGTTTGGCGGGTTGTGCTTGCGGGGGTTGAGCTCAGCTCTTTTGGCCCGCCTCTCAACTGTCAATCAACTGTTTACTAACTACTTTTTTCACACCCCACACACACACACACACACACACACACACACACACACACACACACACACACACACACACACACACACACACACACACACACACACACACACACACACACACACACACACACACACACACACACACACACACACACACACACACACACACACACACACACACACCAGGAAGCAGCCCGTGACAGCTGACTAACTCCCAGGTACCTATTTACTGCTAGGTAACAGGGGCATTCAGGGTGAAAGAAACTTTGCCCATTTGTTTCTGCCTGGTGCGGGAATCGAGCCCGCGCCACAGAATTACGAGTCCTGCGCGCTATCCACCAGGCTACCAGGCCCCCACACATGTATGTGTGTGTGTGTGTTTGTGTGTACGGTGATTTGGGGGCATGATAATGATGCCTGTAATTGATAAACTCAATTAACTAGAGCAGCAGACACTATCGTCATTTATAAAGCAGTGGTCGTAAACAAATGAATGGTGATGAGTGCACGCGCGTGTAACAGTTTAGCTGTTTCTAGAGAGAGTTATATATCTTATATTGAATGGAGTGTATGGTTATCTTGAGGTTATCTTGAGATGATTTCGGGGCTTTTTTTTAAGTGTCCCCGCGGCCCGGTCCTCGACCAGGCCTCCACCCCCAGGAAGCAGCCCGTGACAGCTGACTAACACCCAGGTACCTATTTTACTGCTAGGTAACAGGTACATAGGGTGAAAGAAACTCTGCCCATTGTTTCTCGCCGGCGCCCGGGATCGAACCTAGGACCATAGGATCACAATTCCAGCGTGCTGTCCGCTCGGCTCCCAATGGTATACAGGGATACAATATAGTTTACGAGGCAGAGTGAACTCTGACCTGAGCTAGCAAGAGAGGTCTTCCCCAAGGGATTAGTGGTTGAGTGATTTATGTAAGAGTGCCATAGCCTGCCGTTGTGTTTAATTCAGTTATTAAGAGAAATTCATGTTATTAAACGTTATTGTAGTTAATAACTTCCTTTGTTAAGTACCTATGTTAATTTAACGTCATATGAATAGACATTCCATCCCCCGTATTCGGCCAAGCGCATATGAATGCATTTAGGATGGGAACTAGTTTGTTCTGGCCAGGCCACGACTCATCCCAGGTCATATAGTTACCGTGTGGCCACGACTCATCCCAGGTCATATAGTTACCGTGTGGTCACGACTCATCCCAGGTCATATAGTTACCGTGTGGCCACGACTCATCCCAGGTCATATAGTTACCGTGTGGTCACGACTCATCCCAGGTCATATAGTTACCGTGTGGTCACGACTCATCCCAGGTCATATAGTTACCGTGTGGCCACGACTCATCCCAGGTCATATAGTTACCGTGTGGCCACGACTCATCCCAGGTCATATAGTTACCGTGTGGCCACGACTCATCCCAGGTCATATAGTTACCGTGTGGCCACGACTCATCCCAGGTCATATAGTTACCGTGTGGCCACGACTCATCCCAGGTCATATAGTTACCGTGTGGCCACGACTCATCCCAGGTCATATAGTTACCGTGTGGCCACGACTCATCCCAGGTCATATAGTTACCGTGTGGCCACGACTCATCCCAGGTCATATAGTTACCGTGTGGCCACGACTCATCCCAGGTCATATAGTTACCGTGTGGCCACGACTCATCCCAGGTCATATAGTTACCGTGTGGTCACGACTCATCCCAGGTCATATAGTTACCGTGTGGTCACGACTCATCCCAGGTCATATAGTTACCGTGTGGTCACGACTCATCCCAGGTCATATAGTTACCGTGTGGCCACGACTCATCCCAGGTCATATAGTTACCGTGTGGCCACGACTCATCCCAGGTCATATAGTTACCGTGTGGCCACGACTCATCCCAGGTCATATAGTTACCGTGTGGTCACGACTCATCCCAGGTCATATAGTTACCGTGTGGCCACGACTCATCCCGGGTCATATAGTTACCGTGTGGCCACGACTCATCCCAGGTCATATAGTTACCGTGTGGCCACGACTCATCCCAGGTCATATAGTTACCGTGTGGCCACGACTCATCCCAGGTCATATAGTTACCGTGTGGCCACGACTCATCCCAGGTCATATAGTTACCGTGTGGCCACGACTCATCCCAGGTCATATAGTTACCGTGTGGCCACGACTCATCCCAGGTCATATAGTTACCGTGTGGCCACGACTCATCCCAGGTCATATAGTTACCGTGTGGCCACGACTCATCCCAGGTCATATAGTTACCATGTGGCCACGACTCATCCCAGGTCATATAGTTACCGTGTGGCCACGACTCATCCCAGGTCATATAGTTACCGTGTGGCCACGACTCATCCCGGGTCATATAGTTACCGTGTGGCCACGACTCATCCCAGGTCATATAGTTACCGTGTGGCCACGACTCATCCCAGGTCATATAGTTACCATGTGGCCACGACTCATCCCAGGTCATATAGTTACCGTGTGGCCACGACTCATCCCGGGTCATATAGTTACCGTGTGGCCACGACTCATCCCAGGTCATATAGTTACCGTGTGGCCACGACTCATCCCAGGTCATATAGTTACCATGTGGCCACGACTCATCCCAGGTCATATAGTTACCGTGTGGCCACGACTCATCCCAGGTCATATAGTTACCGTGTGGCCACGACTCATCCCAGGTCATATAGTTACCGTGTGGCCACGACTCATCCCAGGTCATATAGTTACCGTGTGGCCACGACTCATCCCAGGTCATATAGTTACCGTGTGGTCGGGAGTTACCACATCCTCACCTTTGTGTTAATTCCTTAACATTAGAAATTCGTGTTACTATCCAACAGTTGAAAGTTACTGTGGTTTATTGTCTATGTAAATTATCCATCAGTTTTGAGAATAAAGATTCAGTCACTTTAAGTTGCCAAGTGAACATCAATTTGCTATTGTAGTGAACGCTGGCAAATGATGGAGACCTGCCAGCAGGCTTGGGTTACCTTTGTTATACTCAAATTCTATGTCAGTTGAAATGTAACCAATCACAGGCAAGGAGGCCTCTGACGTCATACCAGACAGAGGAGCACCAGCCATTGCTCCCAGCAGCCCCAGTTATCCTCACAGACTCAGAGTAGAAGGACCTCGGCTAGGCCAGATATATACCTTGTTGTCTCGGTCAATAAATATATACAGAAGCGACTACTGTGTCTACATTCTACCCGAACAAGGCAAACGAATACCTTGCTTGCTGGAGGTCAAGGAAGATTTGATCAGTATGGTTTTGGGCGCCAGTAAGACAAGCGTGCTCTCGTTTTCAGAAGCAGGTAATAACCTGGCCAATTACCTGAAATTTAAGGTATCGTCTGTTGATTTAAGTACAGTTTACAGGAATCTATGTAATCATTGCCTTTAAAATAATTATAGTCAGTCTAGAAAGTATTATTCATATAGCGTAATAATAAAGCGTTTTACTGAATTTTAAAGTGCTTAGTCAATTTCTCCCAACTTATTATATATTTAACTAGCAGTGCCCGGCCACGCGTTGCTGTGGTTCAGCACTGAGCCACAGCAACCTTCCCTGTCCCCCAGTCCTCCCCTCCATCCCCCCCTCACCCGTCACCTCGGCCTCCCAACCATTCCCCATTCCCCCATCCCCTCGTCATTGGTTGTGTGGTCACGGTACTGTGTACGTTTAGGGGTGATCCTGGACGGCATGGGTTCGAATCCTGGCTGGGTCAAAGAGTTCTTAGTGATATATGGCTTGTGCGTTCATGCAGCTTTCTCACATATATATATATATAATATATATATATATATATATATATATATATATATATATATATATATATATATATATATATATATATATATATGACCGAAAAAGTAAGATTAATAATTCTAACACGAATTTTCTCAATGTTTCTTATATTTTTCTTCACTGTTGATGGTAACTGAAAAATCAATTCTCCAAAATTCATTTTTATTTCTAGTCTGA